GGGGAGCGGGAGGAGGAGAAGGAGGAGGGCTGCAGCTGCCCTGGGCTCCCGTGGGGCCCTGCAGCAGGTTTGGACACCAGGATCACGAAGCTGCAGCCAGATCGCCGCAAACGCCAGCCCTGCCGATCCCTCCTGTTCCCCTCCCAGTGCTGCCGTGCCCCCACCACAGCCAACACCGACCCAAGGCCACCGGTCCCATGGGACTCTGATCCCCTTTCTCCCCACAGCCTGGTCCAGCTCAAGGCAGCGTCCAGCCCCGCGAGCCTCGGGCAGCAGCAGCAAAGCCCTTCACCCCGCGCTGGGCAGGGAGCTGGGGCCTCCCGGCTCTGCAGCGGGGCTTTAATTGCAACCACCACACACGCCTTCCCGTCCCTGTCCCCCAGGTCCCCCCGGCTCCGATGGCCCTGGCAGCTCACATCTGGAAGGGCTTTAGCAGGGCTCTGAAAGCTTTAATAAAAGCCAGGTTGGCTGCCACCAGCGCCACAGGCCTTACCCCGAGTACGTGCCCCGGCTCGGGCAGAATTGTCCCCATCCAGCTCCCTGCACAGCCCCAAATTAGGACTAGTTCAGCCACCACCACCAGCCCCCTTTGCCCCCAGTGCTCCTGAGCCCTGCCCACTGGCACCCTGTGCCACAGGCAGCCCTGGCACGCTGCCCCCTCCCCATGGGAAGCAAAGCTGCGGCCGCTGCCCCGTCTCCAGGCGTGGGAGGACGGACGGGAGCATCCACCCACAGAGCCAGAGGCAGCTCCTGCCCACACAGTGCTGGCAAACACCCCGTCTCAGCCACCACCACCATCTCCTTCTCCAAAGGGAGCTGCCTTTCTCCAGCACAACACAGGGACGTCCCTGACCGGCCTGGGAGCCCCGTGGAACAGCCTCCATGCCAGCGCTGCGCAGGATGGCACAAGTGACCTGCTGCTGTGCCAGGTCTCAGCTCCTCTGTGGCAGGCCAAACATTGGCCTGCTCCTGGGCACACTGCTCAGCCATGTCCCCAGCACCAAGCTGGGCTGCTCCCTCCTGTGTCTCAGGGACACTCAGCAGTGCAGGTATCCACGCCCAGGCCAGCAGTGGCTGCAGTGCTCTCATCCCTGGCGAGGTGAAACATCTCCCGGCCACAGGGATGAGCCATCATCCTGTTTCCCAAAATTATCCAAAGGTATTTGCTTGCAGGACAAGGCCTCAGGGTGCTGAGGAAAAGGCAGCAGTGTGGCAGGCAATGAGCATCCTGACAGCTCTGCAGCACTTTGTGCATCCTGGGGAGGCTCCAGCAGCGGAGGGACCCCCAGTCCTGCTGGTGCTCACCCCCCACAGCCCCTGCCTGCTGCTTGCCTCGTGCACTGGACTCGAGGGGATGAGGCCACGTCCTGGGATTTTGTCCTTAAGACACCTCCAGGCCGTGCACCATGGTTACAGCAGCAATCCAGACAGATCCAGGCAGCGCCAGGTCCCCAGGGCTCCCAGGTGAGGAGCTGGGACAGCTCTAAACCCTGCCGGTGGCTCTCCAGGACCCTGAGAGCTGGGATGCTGCAGCAGGGCAGGGGCTGCCAAGCTGGGCTTGTCCCTTCCTCATGCCTCACACCCATGAGGTCACCCAACCATCAGCCTGGGGTGAAGCCATCGGGAGCAATCTGGTGACTCAGCTGGCGAGGCCATCTCCACCACGGTCCTGGGAAGCAGAATCCTGGGGGAGCTGCTACCACCAGGGCTGCTTCCCATCATCGTGGCACCCATGGACACCCCAGCC